TAACACTACCAACAGATTAGTCTAAAATACGCAATAATGCATTGAGCAAATGCATCGTGCTTTCAAAAATCCCAGTCCTGATGCAAATATTAATTAAATTAGCTGATTTTGGTTTCAAGTTCCGGTTTGCTACTGTGCTAATAAAACATCTCTGTGTGAAAGAACTAATCCTTAAATTTCTATTGGCATAAAAGTAGAAACCTCTGTTAGTGTCTTGAGAGTTATTCATCTGAGCTAAGCTATAAGTCCTTTTTTTTTACTGTGTCTTTCCCACTAAGTGTGCTGCTTTTGACAAGAGATTTCTGGAGGCAAGTAAATTATTTCACTTAGATGTAAAGGTTTTAAGTTATAAAATATGACCTAGCTTATTCTACTAGAACAAAAAAAAAAAAAATCCCAACAATATTCAAAAGCTACATGCTACATTCAGATTGGGCAAAACTGACTGGTTCTTTCCATAGAGCTCCCTTTTCAGCTTTTTTAGCTAAACTTTGATGCCTGCTGTCACAGTCAGGGAGTAGAGTTCTTGCCCATAAAAGGAAGAATCACTGAAAGTGATTACTTTTAATATGGAGAGGTATGATTAAGGAGACAAAATTTCACATACTAGACTGATAGGACTGTTTTCAGAGTTGCACACTACTATGTAACCAGTGAATTGATGTAGGTATGCTCCATGGCAATCCTATGGCTTGCTTTGGGATCTCCTTTATTTCTGAACTCAAAAGTAATAGAATAAAACCTTTCTGCAAAGTGTCTGGGGTTGTTTTGGGTTGGTTGTTTTGTTTTTTTTCCCCAAAGACTACTTAGTAGACTCATTAAATACATTCAATAAATAATGCATTTTCTGAATGAAATGTTTGTCCTGTGGGGCTTATCCAGATTTATCTTACAACCTCACTAATAGTGCAGATTAGTAAATCATGCAGGAACCATCAGGAGAAAAGGCAAGTTTTTCTTGTTCTGTGTCTTGAAAGAGTCATAGCACATTATGAATGTCAGGTTGAGGCAAGGTAAATTGAAGCGTGTCGTGTAGATAAGCAATCAAAACAAAATTGCAAATTCTGGTTATAAGTAAGAAAAAAATAAATGAGATTCTAGGACATCCTTAGAAAATGCAACTATCAAAGTTGGCTATTCACAATACCATGGTTTTGCATCATATATTAAGACCATTTTGTGGTGAGTTTGCACTTTTGCAGTACTGATAGCCATAAATATTTTCTGTTCTTTAAGGGCATAAGCAGAATGTACATTTAAGTCTGTGTATGAAATTTGTTTTTTTGAGAAATGGAGCCTTAATAATTAGACTGACTGTAGCTAGGTATTCTGCAAGATAATTTTCTAGAATTCCTTGTCATTTATTTGCCAGTGGTGACTCTTTTTTCAGTTGATTATTTTCTGAGAATTACCAGCAAGGTAACTGTTTTTTTTTTTGACATGTGGGCTGTAAGTGCAGTCTTTGAATAAAGTCAGTGTTTTCAAAACAATCCTAGTATAAAACACAATTCACTAAACAAGCATTTGTTCTCTTTTCCCTTTATGTTGTGTTGTATATATCGTCTAACAACTTACTAAACGCCCTAATTGTTTACACTAAATATTAATTAACAGGTTGAGGTTTAATTATGTAACTGTGGTCTTTATTTTGGTTACATACAAAACTGAATTAAATGTATTGGAGCAGTATATTGCCCATGTACGTGAGACAACATACTACTGGAAGAGATGGTAGAGTTAGAACCGTCTTCATGCTGTAGTACAAGAGGTTCTTCAAAGAAGTAATCTTAAGTGACAAAAACTGCAGAAGTTTTGGCTTAAGTGTTTAGGTCTGTGTTGGAAAGAATAGCATAATGGAGCCATGTAAGTTAGCGTAAGTAAATACTTTATAAAAAAAGATATTTGTTTATTTCAACAGCTTATGCCTTTTAATAGATAAGCTGCAAATAAAAATCTGTATATTTTTTAAATCTTAAAATAAGGTATGGTAAATACATTTACAACTTTATATCTATTGTTGTTCTTTCTTACTGTTACTGTCTTGTTTTAGAGTTCCTGCCTGCAAGCAGTGTCAATAGGCTGGGAAGGAGGTGTTTATGTACAAACTTGTGGTCACACATTACACATAGATTGTCACAAGTCTTACATGGAATCTTTACGGGTAAGTAAAACTAAAGAGAATCTTTTTATTTAGGTTGGAACTGGGATCAGAAGTGAAATCAATTGGTTTTATACTGTTCAGAGAAAGAAAGGTTGAGTTTACATGAATGGGCAAGGTATTTTTATTGTTTCAAGAACTGTAGACGCTAAATCTCTTATTACATCTTGACATTATTAACAAAAGAACTTTGTTTGCAGTTATTCTTGCATATCAGGGAAAATACTTGAGTAAATTAACCTGGTAAAATATGAAATCACTGGGGTTTTTGGCTTTTTTTTTTTCCTGGTATGCATGTTCAGGCAAAGCGATTCTTGCACTTTTCATTTGTTTCATAGATTTCATATTTTGATGTTAGAAATTACATGTTAGAAATTACAGAGGAACCGAAAAAAAAACTAGGAGAATTTTACAAATAGAAATTTGTGCTTTTGGTTAATTTTTAGTATGAACATTCAGTTACAAAAAGTAATACTCTTTGTAGTACGCTCATGTGAATTATGCAGAGTAGTGTTCACTGGTGTTGCTGGCCTCCTTCCCCCCTCTCGGCCTCCTTCCCCCCTCTCAACCTCCTGCAGCCAAATTGCAGATCTTCTGAATGGAGCTGTATTTCTTTATCAGAAGCCCAGCAGTAGTAGAAGTTATCAGATTTTAAGCAGTCGTTTCTTTCTGTATTATTTAGTGTAATAAAATAAAGACAAAACAACAGCCTTTTATTGCATATGAAACTGCTTTTTTTAGTTGAGATTACTTTGTGGTACTTATTTAGTTTTATTTCTTAATAAGTTTACTTGATTTGTTTCCATTTTGAGATAAACAATTTTTAGTATCAGTATTGGTCATATAGTGAAACTTACCTCAAGAGAAATTAGACGATCTGCCACTTTTACTTGATCCTATGATTAATTTTTCTTTTCCATTTGACTGTAAAGATGCTTTCAGAGATAATTGTGTCATCAAGATAATTAAGTAAAATCTGTGTTTTCATGGTAGAATATAATTTTACAGAATTCTAGAAAAATAGTGTTTTGCCTCACATAGACACTGTACTTCCTTTTCTGGTGGATTCTCAGTTAAATTCAAAATAAACTGTTATTCCATATCATTGTATTCTTACAGTTTTCTAGATTAAGTGAACTAGCATGTTACTGCTAGTATATTACTACTATCTAGACGTATACATAATAATGTTGACTATTTCTTAGCTTTCTTAGTCCTATGATAATAATACTTACAAATAAATAATTTATATAGACTTATGTTCATCTGGATAAAACATTTATTTTTACATAATACAACTTGAGATCAGCATCCAGAAAGGTATGTAAAAGCCTCAGCATTCTGGGCTGACTGCTTGAAGTTTAAATTACAGTCACTATTAATTTAGCAGTTTTCCCAGGAGTGAGAAATGGTTGAGGCAGTTCATGAAGCTGGAGCAAGGTTGCTTGCCAGTTACAGGAGTATTCGGGAAATGTCTTCACAAACATATGTACTTCTGAGTCCATTTTTTTTAATCCTTCATGATAAAGAAGCAGCAGTCAATTTTTTTTTTTATGTGCTGCCCTCCAACAACTATTTAATAGAGTTTTTTCAGCCTGTGTTTCTGAGAAATTATCTTTAAATATTTCCTATGACTGAAAATAAAATTGCCTTTTGAGAAATTAAAAGATAGTATAAAGAGGGTCTCAAAGTTTATGGGAATTGCTGGGAAAAAAACCCATGGAATTCTTTGGAACATGTGGAGCTATTCCAATTATTCTTTCTTGACCATTTTTTGTTTGACTTCTTTTTTAGCTGCACTTCTTAAATATCAAACTAAAAAATTATAATCTTTTGCAAATTTCAGCTCCATCTTCTGTATTTTCTTTTAGAATGACCAGGTTCTCCAAGGTTTTTCAGTGGACAAAGGAGAATTTACCTGTCCCCTCTGTAGGCAGTTTGCTAACAGTGTTCTTCCTTGTTATCCTGGAAACAACGTGGAGAGAAGCCTCTGGCCAAGTCATAGTAACAAGTGTATGCGAGATCTTGTACGAGAGGTGGAAGATCTTCAAGAACAGCTGGGAACTTTCCCAGTAAGCATCAGTGTAAGGCAGAAAGATCCTTGTTAATTTGCCTCTACCTTTCAGTTGTTACATTATGTTGCATTTGTGACCTCTTAGAAACTTGACAGCCTGGGAAAATTAGTTTTCTTCTGATATGGAAAACCGCATACTCTTTACTTTTTTTATATATATATCAAGAAATTTTAAGTATTTACAGCGTTTACTGCACTACCTACTAAAACATAAAAAATTAAAAAGCTATGAAAAATATGATTAATACAGTTTGTTTTTTTTATGGAGTACATTTTCTCATCACTCTGTAGTAATTTAAATAAAATTCATTTATCATTTATTTACAATGTAAAACCACCAATATCTTTGTAGCTGGAAGCTACTTAGAGAGTGTTTGTTAAAAGTGTTTTAAGGTATGGATTATTTGTCAGAAAGAGCACCATGCAGATTACATATTATAAGGCTTCATGAGATCTTCCTGAATGATAGAATTAATTCTATTAAATTTTGCTAGCCTTCCAATCTTGATGATGTTATTTTCACGTACTTATGCAATGCAAATATGCTTCAAAATAACGCAAGCAGTGAGATTCTTGAACTTATGAGAGGGACAAAACAGTGATGTTTTCACATTCAGAACAAACCAGAATAACTTTCAGAATACTAAAACACTTCTGTGAGACAGAATACTGGCTTTTAATGCATATTTTTTCATAACCTGCAAATGTGTTTTTATAAATACAAAAGTGCTACACTTTGCAATCAGCTATTGCCATTTCTTCAGGTAAAATTAACTAATCTTTTGTGTCTTTGTTCATAGTCTGAAACCAATCTCAGTAAGGAAATGGAATCTGTAATGAAAGATATAAAAAGTACCACACAAAAGAAGTATACAGATTATAGTAAGAGTCCTGGATCACCTGACAATGATTTTCTGTTTATGTATTCAGTAGCCAGGTGGGTGTGTTTTTCTTTTTATATTATTTTGTTTTGGTTTTCACTAACGATACTGCTCACGAGACAGTTTTCTTTTTATAAAAAATGTTTTCAAATATTCCATCCTCTCCAAGAAGAAAATTTTATGATTTTTTGTAAGCAGGCACATGCAAGATAGAAAGATGTGCCTCTTCAGTTAATTTTTAGTATATGCAGCAGTATCACAAAACCTGGAGAACATTTTGTCTTATGCTTATTTAGTTTTCTTTATTCAAGGTTTTGCTTTTTATAAATAAAAATTTTATGTTGAATTTCTTTTTCTACCTTCCTTTCCCAAACTGTGAAATCTCCTCTACTACTATATAGCAGAATGAGTTTATTTCTACATCATTGCCATATTGCTGGGTTTTAAATCAAAGAGTGTCTTTAATCTCTCTGTTCAGACATTATTTACTTATATGAGGATCACAGAAGGATGCTTTTCTGTGCCAGCAACAAGGACTCTTCATGTTAATAAGACTTCTAAAAATAGTGTTAAAACAACCAGCATTTTCTCTGATGTTTGATTCCAGTTTTATAGCTGTCAGTGTCACAGCCAGTCTCCTTCCATTAATGTTAAGATGCACTGAATGGTCCATCTAGTCAGATTTACTGTAATGCAGGGGTTTTCCATATGAGGTTGAAATATTCATTGAGCAAATAATTTTCTAAACTCTGACTTACTGAGGCCTGCAGGGAAGGTAATGACTGCAAAGGAAGAGCAAGCATACAAGTGATGCCATCCTGTATCATTTTTTTTACTGCAGTTTCATAAACTCCAGGTGCTGAGTGTCTTTATTATATAAGCAGTGGAAATACTCATGACTTGGCTCAGCAGGACCCTGGGTAATCAAATCTAAGGCTCAGGTTTTGACAGAATGTTGGACTATCTGATCTCCAGAATTCTCTTCCAACCTAGCGTATTGTATAATACTATTAGAAGAAATATTACCTGTATTCTTTAAGAGTATGTTAAGTGTGTCTTGGTGAAGAAGAGCAGTTACATTTTATATATAGCAAGGTAAAAGATTGTTCTGTATTAAGTGGCATATGCCATAGTAGGATAAGAAATGCTGAGATTTTTAGTAATGATGTGGTTGATAACATTTAATATCCTTCTGATAATACAAAGGACTCAAAACTAATGTTTCCCATATAAAAGTATGATTAATTATAACCATAACTTGACAGACCTTTTAAAGTACAAAAATGGTGTTATTTTTCTGAGTGTAATGTTATATAATTTTAAAACCCCAAGCTAAATATATTTTAAATATATCTGTAGTTTTAACACTCTAAGCCCGGGATTTTTGTTTTCATTCCAAGAGTTAAAAATACCTCCAACCAGAACAACATTTTAGTGCTGCGTGCACTACTGGAGCAAGAGAGAGAGACAACATGGTTGACCACTAGGATTAGGATATGCCACCTGTACTCATTGTGACCTCTTATTGTTAGGTTAGACTGGCTTCTGCCATTTTCCATTTATCCATGGCCAGAGGATTCCAGGTGTTAAATCCTTCTGTATTGTTACCATAACTCATAATATCACTTACGAGGATCCCTGGCAAATCAATTACAAAATGGTTAATTTCTTTTGCCTTTCAGTCAACAGTCCAGATTTACGCTTTTGCTACTGTATAACTGCGTAAGAGCTACAGGTTAAAAAAGTTAAACTTAACAGCAGACATTTAAATATAACTTTAGAGTTTGTGTTTATGTAAATAAATAGTAAGTGAGCTGGTTATCTCCCAGACTTGAGAGTCTTCTTTGTATGATGTCAGTATGTTTTGTTTAATTTTAAATATCCAAACAGTGAACTACCCAGAAGTTAAATTGCAGACTGAAGTTTGCTTTCTCAAAGTTACTCCTCTTATTCAGCCTGTTTCTTCCTCATTTCCATCCTTTTTTTTGAGGTAATGATATCCATTTGTTCCGTACCAGCCAGTTCGGCTAAGTTTCTCTAGTTTCATGTATTCTGAAACATTTAATTGGTTTTGGTCAGACTGTCTACGATTGCAATTCATTTTTTTCCTGGTATTTAACCTAATATACAGAGAAAGTGGTCAAGATGATAAGTAGCCCCTGTTTAAGTTATCATTTCAATCCAATTATATTTTTATTGGCTCCATATGTTTGCAAGTAAATTAAACGCTCTTCTTATGAAAAGTTATGTTCCATTTTCCATCAGAAACAACATCATCTGGAGTCTTCTTGAAAGATTCTAGTTTAAAGCTGGAGGCCAGCTTTGAAGTGGATTTCTGCATACTAGAATAGGAATACTATTGTTTAAATAGGATGTAGCCACTTGGTGCAGCTTATCCTTTCTGTTTCAGGAAGATGGCAACTTAGTTTTCAGACTTCATTTTTTCTTACCAAGACATATGTCACTGGTAGCAGAGAAGAGAAGCTACAAACAAATTCTCTACCACGTAGTAGCAGATCTAGCCCCTGTCTGTCTTCCTAGCAAAAGAGGCATTCAGGGTCTTGCCATCCCAATTTCCATGTGCAGCTGGAAGAGCAGATCCCAAACTACCTCCACCATTCTCTACAGTTTGACCTTGTTAAATGTATGTCCTTTTTGTGTAGATTCCTCCTTGGTTTTGCCAATGAGATAAATATCATGTCATTCCCAAATCATGTGTGCCCAGCTTTAATTTTAATAGCTCCACATTCATAGCAATGGTGTCTGTAATTTGTGGCAGTATCTTGGAGGACTGTTTCTGTATTGCATAGCAAATAGGTCTCATCCTTTTGTTGGCTGTGTAAGCAAAGCTTTTGGGTTTTGCTGTCAGCTATGCATAGGCCAGTACAAGAACCCAGTGTTCTTTCCTTCTAGTCTTTGTCACATTATCTGTTTTTGTTCATATATTTGATGTCTTCATAAACTGAAGCAGAGAAAATGGTAGTGCTTAACTTGATTCTTCTGTCCCACTAGAAAGAGGCAATCCATCCAAATACGTTCTCTTTTTGGAAAGGCATTGCAGCTTTTCTTCCCCCTATTCTGTCCCATTATGCATTCTGAGAAATATGCAGTGACCCACCCCACCCCCAATAAGTTCCTTTACTGAAAGTCCATAAGAAGCAACGGAGTAGGGCTGGTTTTTAATCAGGAATCTGTACAGCTGAGCAAAATCCATCTTCTTATTTTTTTTCTGTGATGGAGAAAGATAAGGCCAGTGTTCTACAAAATTTGTTGCTTCAGTGAGTGACACAAAGATTTCTAGATAAAGGAAACAGTCACTCAGAGTTTTTTCTTTCTCCTCTTCTTCCCTTCATGTTGAGGGGGCTGAGATAGCAAAGGATGCTTTAAGAGATTGCACCGTGTTCCACTCTTTTATCAGATGCCCTAAGTTTTTCTTCACTGATGAGAGAATCTCAGAGGCACTGAGAGCTCTGCTTTTCTTCAGTAGAGGCCAGATGGTACTCAGACCCTTAAGGCAAAAGGGAGCTTGAGTTGGGGAGGAGATACACTGGCCTCTCTCAAAAATTATTTAGGCCTGTACCTGATGTAGAACATTTTACAAAGGAAAAGTGTTCAGTTTCACAGGTGCTTTCTCTACTATACACTTTTATGCCAAAGTTTGTGTTTTCAAAGAGATACTGTAGAGGAAAAGGTTATTATTTACTTTTCCAAGAAAGCTGAACTATAAGCTGCTGTCACTGAGGAGCTGGGGGCAGTGAAGAAGCGTGGAAGGTGAGAGTTGGTATGATAGATGTGATGGTGTATGTCTCAAGAAACCTCTTTCCTTACATTGCTTATAGCAAAAAGTACTATATAACACCTCATATATATATAAAAAAAGATTTTTTTCTAGAACTTTCCCTGAGTTTTGTAAAAAATGTACATTTTTCTTGGTGAAGGAGGAATTTTAAGTTCTAGATCTAGAAAGCTGTTCTTAGATGTTCAGGGAGTTGTTTTGATGTAAATCTTAATTCTTATGGCTTTAATGGAAAGGTGCTTTTAATTTTGTTCTACAAATTTGTTATCAGAAAGTTTGTAGAAATAAAGTGTACTGGTTTCCTTTATATTCCCATGATGAACTAGCGCACACTGATCTACAGTTGCTATTTTGTCCACTAATATGAAATCCCTGTCCCTGCTTCCTTGCTAGTAGATTTTTAGAAGTTCAGTGAGCACTGCAAATCGCCTGAAGAGTGGAAAATTCCCCTGTCACACAGATGCCCTTATCAGCAGCAACCAGATGGAGCTCTGAGCAGGCACATTACCAATGTTAAATTGCCTTTTCTGAATAGAGAGGATTAAAGCATTTCTTCAGAAATGGGTGGCATAAGATGCATACTTAGGGATAGTAATATTCTGAAGTGTTACTCTTTTAAAAACATATGAAAGTGTTTTAACAAACACTGCATATCAAAAATGTATTATTCTTTTAAGCTGATGGAGATGAATTTCTTAAAAAATAATTTGTTTTGAATAAAATAGACATCCTGTAGTTTCTTCTTTAAAATTATATCAGGGGAAGGAATTCTTAGCTTAGATATACTATGTACCTAAAATTCAAGAACAGATTTTAATATGTACTCAGTTGCACTATATTGAACTTTATATTATATTATTTTTAGTTAGAGGGCAAAATATGTGTAGATTGAGTTTTACAATGTGGATTAAATTAGCAGAATAACATTTCAGAATAATAGAATTATTTTAATTAAAGATATGTATGTTGACTTATTAAAACAAACTCTCAGGGAACATAACATTAATTGTCTTGCTCCAAGACAGTGCAGTACTGAAACATCTAACTGCATCTAATATTAAACAAAGCTATGGGATTTGGCCTAAAACAATTGGTGCCTAAGTATCAGATGACAATAATACTAAGAAAGAAAGCATCAATGTGACATGCAGAAAATCAGTGACACAGCTCCTGGTTCATACTAGTGAGCTGCAGTGAATGCCAATGTTTCATTTGAAATTAACCTTCAAGGTTTTTAACTGACTTATCAATAAAGGTCAGTGATTCCATTTTAATTCAGACTGTTTTCATACTTAGTTACTTGATGGCTTATCCGTTGTACTTTCTGTTTAAAGAAAAACAAAAGCCCTGCCAATAAAGAGAACACTTGGTAGACATATCTGATTGGTAGAAATTTAGTCAGTTTGTATATTGTCTGTCAGATTTGCACATAAGTTCCCTTGTTATCAAGGACTTGTGTCCGCATACAGGAAAAAGAATGAACTTTTTAAAAAAATATATTTTTCATTCACAACCATAGCACCTGCCTTAATACAGGACTGGCTAATAAAACCACTTAAAATAGCATATGACAATATCTTGATAGAGTTAGTTTTATTCTGAGACATATTTTGAACAGTATCTCACACTGAAGAGCAGTTCTTGTATTTAGTGTATGCTAGGAGTTTGTGGTGACTCTTCTGTGGCTGTAGAAGCTTGAATAATGCTGTTCCATTCAATGCTCATTTTTATTGCAGAACAAACTTGGAACTTGAGCTGGTCCATCGAGGAGGCAATCTATGTTCAGGAGGTGCAAGCACAGCTGGAAAAAGATCATGTTTAAGTAAGTTTTATGTTATGGAGTAAAATATAAATTATTAGAATATTGGATAAAGATACCTGGTATCTAATGTCTTCTAAATTATGTCAGCTTTTTTTCTGTTAAGAACCCTCTTTTCTGCCATGATTTGTCTTGGGTTTTGTTACAATTTGAGAAATATGAAATCCCTTCTGCATAAGTTATTCATTAGAGCTGTTCACATGTTGTGAGTATAATCTATTTAGAAATCAAGTCTCATAGTATCCATATAACATTTTAAAATATTTTCCCATTTTGATAAGTAAAACTAGAAATATTTTAAGGGTAAAGCAGGAAAGCTTTGTTTCACCGTGGCTGTTGCTAGTCATAGTAAAGAAGTATGTTTCTCTGAATGATAATGTAGCTCACAGGTACTTTTCTTTTGTCAGGAAGTCTGAAGAGTCTGCCAGAATACTGCTACTACTACCAATGCTTTTTTAAATCAACCTTATGTAGCAGTAGCAGCAGATTTGGTAGAAAAAATGTGAGAAAGCTTGAGTCCGTATCTGCCCAAGAAATCCCATCACGTTCTATGCTGTCTACATCCTCTCTAGGATAAGAACCTTCTGTTACTGCCAGGAAATGTAGTTCAATTGATTTCATTCATTTGCTGTCATTTATGAAAAGTAGTTTTGAACCCTTCTGCGTGTTATCTCCCCTCACAATCATGACAATAATTTTTTAAGGGGGGGAGGAAGAAAAAAAAAAATCTTCCAAGCTGAGGTATGGTAGCTGATATGAAGTGGTTTGTATAATATATTATTTACTTTTTTTCTTATGCTTACCTCCATCTCTTCAACCTCATCTTGCATAAAAAGGGCTCTTACATACTTAGGATCTGACTTTAAAAGGAAGCATGCTTTTGCTGTCAGCCAGCAAAACGTTCAATCAGGATTTTTAATACGCATTCCTCAAGTTTTGAAATGCATGGAGAATACTATAATGATCTCACACTTGAGAAGTATGGAAATTGACTTCTTAACAAGAAGCATTCAGTAAGATTACACCAAATATTGATTTTAAAAACATGTTAGTTTACAAGTATTGGTTTTAAAAATGTGTTGGTTTACAAAATCTAAAATGTTTATGAAATATATCCCTTTTTGGTACAAGCAAATCTGCTGTTAGTTGTCTATATAAAGAGCAAAATATCCCAGTAAGGAAAACTTTGTTTTAAATCCTTGTCTTCAGAATTCTTTATATATATACAGAGAGAGAGAGAGAGAGAAGAAATTATTTTCCTGTTTGTGATTCAGCTACTCTGAAATTGCTAGAGTATTTCCTGTAATTGAAAATTGTGTCGATTTTTTTTAAAAGTCATGATAACATTTCTCAATTCTTTTTTTTTCTACTTAGAATACATAGTTTGTTTACTACAATATTTTTCTGTTCCTTTCTCAAACTTGTGTAATTTTCTGAGTGTGATGTACATGGAAGTAATGATTTTCCTTTATCAGTTAACATTACTTTTAAGGGTTCTAGTGCATATTTGTGATGAAGGGTAGGGACAGTATTTAAACACTTTTTTTCCACACTTTTGGGTAGAATGGTAAGTTTTCTTCCTTAGATCTAAATCAGTTGTGCTTTTAATATCTTAACTTGCACTTCAGGAAAATTGAAGAAGGCCTTTAAAGTTTTCAGGTGAAAGGTGCTATGTATGGAAATGTGTTGTGGCTTTAAAACAGCATGGAGAGATAAATGTTGTCTATTCGTTGTTAAAATGTTCACATGCTGTTTATGTTCTGTATTGGCATGTATTTTGTAAAATTGTTACATAGCAAACTAGTCATATTTATTCTTGCATATTAAAATAAACTCATTTTTAATATAAGGTAATGAGGTTCTCCTAGAACAGACCTGTACAGTAATTTCACTGAATATTATATTTAGTATTGGACATGAGCCTAAATATGACTAGTGGGAGCAGAATTACTTTTCCATATATAACAAGGTTTGTTGTAACTGAACCGTTATGTAATTATATATTTCCTTCATTGCCCCTTCCATGTTGGTGCATTTAGAGATAAAAATTGCAGTTCTTTAGATACCTGTTCTGTAATAGATTTTATTATCTTTCCATACTCTTTTCTTTTTCCAAGATTGTAATCTTGTTTTTAACATTTCAGTTAAAATAGACCTTCAACTTGTTGTCTTACGCAGTGAGGAAAGAATGATTTTAAAAATCCATACCCTATCAGAACTTGAATACTGTTTTTTTAAAGTCTTGCTTGCACAGTATTGAAACTGCTTTTGTGTTTTAAATGTCATTCCTGTCAGGTCCAGCAGAAGTAATCTAAAATATAACCTGGGTTTGTTTTCTTATGTGTGAGATAATGAGGTGTCTCTCTTGTGATTAAACATACCACTCAGTCTTGTAACAATTGTAAAGTTTGGTGATTAGATATTGCAGAAAACAGAATATGTTGTCCCAGGTGAGCTGTTACAGCAGCAAGTGTCGGGGAAGATGGTGGGAACAAATTGGTCAAGAGCTGTTTTAGTAGACTGCATGGTGAGGACAGCTGCTCTTGGGAAGTCAAGTTAAGAATGATTAATGTAGCTGTTAGTGTCAGCGATCCAGTCTGTACGAGAAGATTGAGGAAGAAAATTTGGCTGTAAAATTGCCATTTTAAGGTTTAAAGTTTTGTATCTTTGTTTGCATGAGCGTGTGTTACTAAACTATGCAGACAAAAAGGTAAAGAGTCCTATTTACTTATTATTTAAAAATCGTGTCCTATTTTAAAGACTGTGTCACAGTTTTACTGTATAGTCTTGAAAATTCTCTTGGGTTTAGGGGGTAATAATGATATTTGACAAATGTACAGATCTTATTTATTTGTTTTATGATGTTTAAGAGATCTGGTGTTTTGTTTTCTGTTTGTTTGTTTGGTTGTTTTTTTTTATTGATTGAACACCTTCACAACACAATATTGAGTCTGAATAATTAGAACTCCTCTCTAATACTTTTGTATCTCCGTTTTTAACTTGTGCTTGCATGTTTTTTCTCTGACATTGTTACTCCCAATGATCTTGACAACAGTCAGTGAACAATTCCACAAAGTTTAAAAGTTGTCTATAAATGAATTTATAATCTGGTCCTTTCTTCCTTTTTCTTTTAAGTAGTTTGTTCTTTTTTCCTGGCTGGTCTCTTCTTTTTTTTCTTAGTCAGAAGGATAGGATTAGGATTTTTTTGGGAAGGATTAAATATTTTGTCACCTTGTCCTCTGGCTTCAGTTTCCCTCTATAGGAACTCCATGTCCTTATGCTTGCCACAGATAGCAGAGTCTGGCATTTTATCATCAACTGCATTAATTGGAAAGGACGTTAATTTACAAGTGGACATCAACAAGTATTTAAGATTTGTGTAAATTTGCCTTAAATAAAATGTCCAGCACCTTCATAACTGCTGTGATGGTTCTTACCATTGAGAAGCCATATTGTTCCATGTGTGGTTTTTTTTTTTGTTTAATTTGGGTTTTTTTATGGGAGGGGGAGGGTTCTCCTCATGTTAATTTGAAGCCTGTGTTCTGCATTTATAGATGGCTTAGTGGTTTTTATCTGTCTTGATTGTGCTGTTAGCATTAGCTTAATCAGTGCTTTTAGTGGTTTTGTGAGCACAGAAAGTCATCTTAACATGATGCGTTTTCTAAGCTCGTCATGCTCCTTCTGTACCAGATATTTCAGCCATTTTGGTACTAATGGCTGTCTCCATTTTATCAATATGGCCAGCGATATTTGGGACCGCTAAGTTCCGAGTGGTTAACCTCTGTAGGAAGAAAAACCTAATTTGTGAATTGCTCAGTTGCAACTGTCTCCTTCCTGTAGTCTGTTAATGTGAATACGGTTACAAAATTCCTACCCAGCGCTCTGCAGCCATGGAAAATTAAAAAAATAAAAGCTGTTTTCAGGAATGCTTTTGCCTTGGTACAGTGGATTTCTGTGGTTGATTGGTTGGTTTGGGCTTTCTGGTTTGATTTTGTTGGTTTCTGGTTTGTTTTTTAGTTAGGAGCTGGAAATCTGCAGATCTTTGGTGCTCATCCATTCATGTGAACTTAGAAAAAGCAGGTTTCCTCACCAACAGATGATCCTATTTCCTAAAAACCTGGGTATGCCATTCATCCATAGTGTGGAAGAGGCGATGATAGATACTGTTAGAATTCTATTGCTAAAGTTGATTTTATATAGTGCGATGTTTGGTGTCAAGGATAATTAGCTGCTTTGTCAGCAGTTAAGGCTTAAGATTTTGTAAAGACTATTCATGTCTTAATGCCTTAATAGGCTTTTCCTGGCTTTCACTTTTTTTTTTTTCTTTACTGATTCCAATCTGCTGGATGAATGGGAAGATGCTGTCAGCAGGTCTTTACAGCTGCTATTGCTAAGTGGACTATATGAATCTCCACAAGGAGGCAAAGAATTTCTCAATGTAAATATTAACAATTAAGTCCCATCTGGTTGTATCAAGTGTTTTTTATAATTTACATTCTTCTTGATGGTCCCAGGGAATGTTGGGAGAAGAAAGGCTTAAGATCTTTAGTCTGGTAATATCTTCATAACAGCGGTTGCGACAAGGATGTTTTCAATTCCATTTGCACTGAAGTGCTGTGTCACTGTGTTTTGTGTTCTTTTGACATTGTGAATATGATCACTTTGAAGAAATGAAAACGTTGCAGTCAAGAGACTGGAAAAAAGAAAGAGCAGCAAAACTCATGTAGAAATTTGGGATCACTTTGGCAAAGACCAAACCAAGATTACTAATGAGACTGAAATTTACAGCCACATGTAACTTCTTGAATCTCTCTTGTTTTTATCAGTTCAGCACAGCATTTTTTAGAATTTTGCTGTTCATCTATCAAAACCCTATTGGTTAATCTCTCTGAATTTAGTCTTTTTTTGGACTGTGCATACCACGTTAGACTGGAAAAAAAGCTGTGGAGTCACCTTGATTTATGTATTCTGGCATAGCAGAATTATTTTTAAGAGCTTCGTTAACATATGTAAAATCAGTGTGCTTTAATACTAAAAATAGTAAACAATGCAGTTTCAGGTGCTAGAGCAGGCAGTGTGGATATGCAGACAAAATATCCATTGTCTCTGTTTTTTTATGAGAAGAGCATTAGAACGCTTCTTCTAATAGCTTCAGTCCCAGTTCAAAGACAGGGTCTTATCCATTGAGCTGCTCTTTTGAGAATACCTATTCCAACTAAGTTTATTGCTCCTCACCACAAGATAACTCTGGGAAGCAGAGCTGGTATAGAGAGAGCTGAAAAAACTGTACCGAGAGCAGCAGTGTATGGAGCACTAGATTTATTTTCCTCATTTATGAAGGCTAACATGTATCAAAGTTAAAGCTAATGTCTGCTAATCCAGATGATTCTATTAAGTGTATTATCTAAGATTTACATGTTTTCTGTGAAAACACAGACCATCTAAATAAGTTGGGAAAATTAAGACAGCACTGATAGGTAATATTTAAGTTGTATGAACATATTTTAAAGACAGTAATAATCTAGCCCACTTAATTGTCTGTATATTATGATCCTGCCAAGCCACTGACAATTGCAACAATAAGTTATGTTGTGCATTCAAATTTTGTGATTTTTATATTTATTCACTTTAACTGGATGCAGCCCATCTCAAATATGAATTTATTAGGAGAGGAGGACCATATTAATATTTCTTTCCAGTGGTTACTCTCATTATTTGTTATCAAGAAACCTATGCTTCTTATTTTATTGTAACTTTGTAATTATCAATCTCTAATTTTGTTGCTGCTGTGCTTTCTAAACTTAGTATTCTACAAAATTTTGTTAGGATTATTGTTTTGGAGACTGTTTGGAGACACTCAGATCCTGTCTTTCTTGCTTAAAAAGGTGGGCTGACCTGGAGAGAATTGGTCATCCACTGTGAGCAGTGGAGGGCTTTGGGATGCCTGGTGGGGTTATGACCTTCTTTTCCAGTTTTCAAAATACTAGGCAAGGATGCTTTTTGTTGACCATTTTCAAGTTACTATTTTGCTGCCACTTTTTCTTTTCTTTTTTTTTTTTTTTTTTTTAAGTGTATTCTGAAGCTTCTATGTAGGGTATAATAAAATGGGAGGATAGTCTGTATTTCTACATTAACATTTTGGAATGATGCATTCATATGAATGCACAAGGGGAGGAAAACCCTCTAGTATTCATTTGGACCAAGGCAGATTTCTGCCAGTCCCTCAAGCATAAGAATGAGGTGAAACACCAAGCACTTGATGCACAAAGAAGTTGACAGGTGTAGGTTTCAGTGCTCTGGTGTTTTCCTTGGCTTTGTCTAGTACTCCATAATCATAGTAGTCATTGAGCTAAAGCAGTTGGTGTCATTGTGGTGTAAAACAGAAAAATATTTATGAAGAAATAAACCTTTGTCTCTTCCTCTGGCTAACCCTTAGTTTTTGCTAGTTGTTAGAAGGCTTCTCAGAAATGTGAGTACAGAACAATAGATAAGTCAGACCTCAGTTTTCCTAACTTGGAAGGTTGCAGCCATCAGGCTCCTTCTGTTGCCGAGTTCCCTTTAGGGGGCAGTATTATTCCTTCGTTACCCCACATCTAGAAGTAAGCACGGTTGTGCTGCATGGACTTAGAGAATATAGTAATATTTTTAGGTCAATTCATAAAAAAGACTTCACAAAATGTCATTGTAACCATCTGATTACCTACTTCTTAGCTTTACATTTGTGTGTTAAACATGTTTTCTTGCAGAGGAGTGACAGCTACCTTAATCACAAACCAAAAATACTGTCTTACAGGAGTGCTAAACTGACTTTTTCAGGCAATATTACAAGTTTATCTTGAGTCCGTAAATGTTGCATACTTTGAGATTGCAAAAAAATTGTCCAGTGCTATAATTTGATATTTGTGTATTTAATTTTGTACCAGTAAAAGCCCAGGAAAATAGCTATTGAAGGAACAAAGGGTGGGTTAATAATGCTAATAATTTTTTGTGTGCGTAGTTGCCCATTTCTATTTGAGATGAGAAGCAGTTCAGAAAAAAAATGACATTCTTTTTAGTAGCACAAGAGCAAGAAGGAAGGAATGGATACACCTTCATGGATTCAATTCCAAATAAAACTGTAGTGGGGTTTCTTTTATTATTTTGATGAAATGTCAGTATATTTTGAGGGTTTTTAAGTTGGTCAGCAAAGCAGTGTTTTGCTATTATCTCTTGCCAAGAGAAAAGATGACTTGTTTTGTCCTCATTGACAGTTTTTATGCAGAAAGCAGGTGACAGCAATCAATTCCAGTGCCATCTATATCTCCAATTATTTTACAAACCCCAGGAGCTAATTACAGCCCTCAGGCTCTGGCAGTCATCTGACTTCATCATTTGACTTTTCTGGCTGTTGCATACCTCTGAGTAATTGTCTATTTATGGAAAATAAATTAATAGCTGCTATTTCTACATAAAAAAGGAGGCCCTGTGAGTGAGTGTGCAGGTTGAGCAAGTGGGTTGTAGAGAGAAGGGAGAGAGAGAGATTAAGAGAGTGAGAGGCAAAGGGATCAACTGAAAGAATAAAAGGGGTGGGGGAGGATGGCAAGAGACTAAGGGGAAAAGTTAAAATGAAGGGTCTGGAAGGAAGCAGGTTCCCAGAAAATCAAACAGGAGAAGCAAACATCGCAAAAAATAGCAAGATACTGTCACAGACGGAAAAAAAGTGATCAAAATCATGGGATATTGTATTTTAAAATACAATTTTAATTTAAACCTATAAAGATTAAAAAAAGGCGTGTTTTATGCTGGACGGTACATGTATTATAAACACAGAAAAATAAGTGAAGTCTGAGTTTCTTACTGCGCATACCTCTCTGAAAATGCTGTAAACATGGAGGATGCCTGCCTTGGTTTGTTTAAGTGGAGAAAGGATTAGATGTTATCTTTGTTATCTTTATGCAGGTCATATGATTCCAAGAGAAATTAAAACTGTGAATTTTAACATATGATACTGCAGTAATGTGTATGAATAATAAACTAAACATCCTTTGTTCAAAAGATTCTAGAAGTGTTTTGCCTGTGATATTTTTGACACCATGGGTATACAGCAGGTTTTGAATTTGAGTATCAGCAAACTTTGCTCGCAGGTTGTATAGACAAATCTATGCCATTATAAAACCCGTTGTTACTTTGTGGAGTGGTTGGTTTTGGTTTTGTTTGTTTGTTTGTTTGTTTGTTTTTCTCTTTTCCAAAAGTTACCTGCAAAATAACTTTATGAAGGCAGAAGGAGTAATAACCTTTTAAAGATGAAGAGACGAAGCTGGCCTGCGATAGGCCAGAACTTCTAGCAGCCTTAGGTTAATTTCATATGTGTTGTGCACAGAACTTAACTGTGAAAGAGATGAATAAAAACTGTGTGTTAAGTGTATCAGTCTCCGTTTAGAAGAGGTGTTTAGGAAGTCATGGCTTCTAACATAAACTGGAGAGGGAAGTAAAGGAAGCATGGAACCTTAGCAACAAAACAGCAAATGAAACAGGATTTTAAAAAAGACCTATAATTAAGTATGTGGAGCTGGTAGTCTACAAGCACTGAAACAACCGTCAAGCCTTTCTTTCTGTTTCAGAGTTTTGGGAGAGGAAAAAATTATTTTTACGTATACATGCGTAAGTTTACTGCCTTCTACTGAAAACTTGATTCTCTTCAAAACCTTTTTTAAAAAAATAAGTTAGAAAAAAAATACATGCTTGTTAGGGTACCAGCTTATTTGGAATGAGATGACAGACTTCTGAATCTTGTAAAATAAATTATGGCAACCTGATGTAAAATACTTCATATTATTGTACATCATATTCAACAGTCTATCTTCTTCACCTTTCAGATCAGCTGTTCCATGTGTTGGCCATGCACATGCGCCTCTACAGCATAGACTCTGCATACAATCCCTGGAGAAAACTAACCCAGCCAATGCAGGATAAAAATTCAGAGCAAGTATTTTAATTTACCATTTTTTAGCAGTTTTGCCTTGTGAAAGAAACGTCCTTATGGAGAGGCTTTGGGTAACTTTCTGTTGTAATTTAAATTCTCTGTGAGGTGGGCTGATGAGCTTTACATCTAAAAATTGTATGTATATATTTGTAAAATTAATTTTCAAATCTCTACATAAATACAACACGCTCCAATTTTGAGTTCAAGCTTGCAAGCTTAAGCACATGCAAATTTAGTAGCAAAAATGTGCACTGTCATTATCATGCTTGTTATTTTAAACAAATTATTTACTGGAGTTAGCTTTTAAAACATTAACCTTACACATACAGATGTACAAGGATTAATGATATTGTAAATGGAGCCAAGTATCTGTATTCTGCAAGGGCTCATCTCCCGACTTTAAGATCCTTCACTTTTCATATTCCACATTGATTGTGAGAAGAAAGGTTTCTTGTCTAAGATGAGGAGATTGTTTTTGCTCATAAGGGGAAAAAGACTTTTTTTTCCCCTATTGCCACCTTCAGCATCATCTTCATAGTGAAGATCTCCATTTTATTTTGCGGTAATGTTAAAAAACCTGTCTTTTTAGTGCCTATCCAGCTGTATGTGTGTCAGTATGTTTAGAGGAGCCTGAGGGTGGAAAACATCATGGGATTTAGAAAATTCATCTAGGATAGTGATGCCACAGTTCTAATCTGCAGCTTAGGAAAAATCATTAAAACATTCGTGCTTACTTCAATTTTAGTTTTTACCGTTTGTCATCTTGGACCCGAGTGAGTGATTTTGCCCTGACCTGGATTAGAGCAGTGGAATAAGGTTAATAAATTTTGTGTGTGGTTGACTGAGTTATACCAGGCAAAATTAAGATCACATTAATAGGCTGTTGACAGAACGTCTGTGAGACTGATCATGCACCTTTCATTTTGATGTTTGAAGAGCTTGCTGGCTTTGGAAGCAGCTCTTCCTAGCAGAGGGACTGCTTCTGCTGCACATGCGACTTTTTTGCCCTTACCGACTTGATGGAATTCACCATGCATTGGTCATGCCAAGGGTAGACTGCTGCAAGTTAGGTTTCATTTGGCAATATTTTTAATCACTTTGAAATGAATGCCACTGTAGACCATAATGGCTTTTCTTGCAGGAGGTGATGCATTTTGGGAATGCATTCGAGCAGTCCCCTTGTTTTCTGCACTGGTTTTCAAGATACCTTAGTAGATTTGCTGATGTTGGTTTGGCACTAAGTCCTAAATGGTTTAAGAAACTATAACTGACAGATCATCCATTTTGCTATGAAATAGTTTACTGTTGAGATGCACAGATGCAATCAAGTCGGAATTTTGTTTGCTCACTCCTTGGAATATTTTTCCTACCTTAGTCTGCAGGCCCTAGAAAGCTGCAGAGAGGGTAACTTGTGAAATTTGTTTTTAATGTATAAATTAGAGTGCAAGATGGATATCCATGATTGTACTTCAGAAATTTGAATGAGTAGTTTCACTTGAAGATGGCATTCATATGATTGGTGTGTATGATCTAATTGCACACTTCTTAAAGTCACATAGCCTTTTGGCAAATCCAGAATAGCAGATTTTTTCAGGTACAGGAAAGATTGCCTAGAGGAATTAGAAGATGATACACTGCTGTAAACTGAGGAGGATTAAGAGGGTAGTGGAGAAATACTGCAGATTTAAGATGTGGATAGCACTTAGCCATTTTGAAGCTAACCAAGTAATCTTGGATCATCATCCTCATCAGTACATGAGACTAAGTAAAGATTTGTATGGAAAAAAAAAAAAGCCAATGGGAGGAAAAGTTCTATATTATCTGACCACATTACTGTGATTCCAAACAATTTATGATCAGGAAAGTCACAGGAGCAAAATAACTTCAAACCAACATGCTGTATTTTTCTATTTAATTTTTGCTTAAAATAAATTTCAGTTGAAAGATATTTGCCAGAGAAGTTATTTGCATCTTTATTTTAAAAAGTAATTTTCAAAAGTTAAAAATAAAATAATGTGGGATACAAATACCATTGGATTATCTTTTGAGCCTTATCTAAATGTAGATACTTTAATTGTAAATGTTTATGTATTTAAACAAAGCAACCTGGTATAGAGCTCATAATTTTTAGCTTGATTTTCCACAACCCATCTATCATTATTCTTAAATCATACCTTAGGTTTTGTGTGTCTGGGAGATCTGATCAAAGTAGTTTGTAAAGACTTTCACAGAATTGCTCTACTGCACTTCTTAAAGCACCTGGTTTTGCCCAGTGTCATCTTCTACAACTGTACCCAGATTGTTCCGTATTTAAAAATGTCAGTTGAGAGAAAAGATAGGAAGGATCTCATGCAGTCACACCAAGGTAAAGTAGAAATAGGGAAATTTTGAGCAAGAAGGTAACCTATAAAAAAGGTCCTACATAATGTGAACTGTTTGAAGGAAGGAGGAGGAAAGACAAAGCTATGTCTGAATTGTGAATGCTATAGTGGATTCTTTCTTCTATGCAGTTCATGTTGTCAAATTTAATGTACGCTTGGTCCTACAGGCTGTGCTTCAGCAAATCCTTCTTATAGGGGCAGATCTGGTTTCAATGGTGATCAAATAAACAATTATTGTGTTGTAAGTGGGGAATAATAGCTTCTGACAGGGGTCAGAGAAGGAGCAGCTGGAGGCAATAATTACTGAACCCAGATGTGAATTTAATGGACTAGTCTAAATAGCCAGAGTTTCAGGAACAACAAACCTGAAATAAAGGCATATATGTATATATATTTAAATTGAAATCTCTACAGAGATTGGAATTTTTGAATTTGGTAAAGCATTAAGGATCTTTGTGGCAGGAGTGAAACCACATGAAAAACTGAAATGCTCAAAAAAATGGGGTTATTTTTACTGAAGTGTTTTGGTTTTGCTTTGTTCTAAGCTAGATCCCTTTGATGATTGTTTATAGCGTTATACTGGGACAACAAAATGCAGCACAGGGATGAGAATGAGCAACTGTGAAGGGGAACCTGTTAAGTCACTCTCCCATCACAGAAACTGTTGTGAAATTAGAAAAATAAAACTGTTTTATGAAGATCATCCAAGGCAGACAGTAGGATGATGGGATAATGTGGTTTAGTTAAGGTTTGTGCTGGAGGGTGGTATGTACATAAACATGCTGCAACAGGACTACACAATCTATTCAATAAAAACACAAATGCTGCCTGAAACACCAGTATCTCAGACATACGATGTGGAGGTTTTGACACTAATGCCAGCTTCAGGAGTACTTGCTCTTGGCTGTTTCTTCCTTGCCCTATACTGTATCTTGCCATCTTCAGCTGTGCTGATGCAACTTGAGCAGGCTGCATCACAATGTCCAGGAACTAATCCATGTTTTTAAAAAGGCTAATTTGTATAAGTTTGGGAATAAGTGACAAGGGAGCGGTGGGGGCACGGTGGTGAAAGAGAGAATAGAAGGTGCCCAATGTTGGTTGGGTCAGTGACATGCTGTGCTGTGGGAGAAACTGACCTGCTGTAAATTCGGACACAATGAAGAGCAAATACGAAATTGTGATTATATCCTAGAGTTGTAGCCAAAATAAATAGTGGAATTCTACTTTCTTATCATGAACATCAGAAACTGAGCATTACTCTGACCTTTCTGCAGGCTGTGATCTGTGGGCTGTATTTCTCATTCTACAAATACTGAAGGGAATATAAATTTGCCCTAGTTGATTAAGGCTTTGTTTAGCTGTATACATACCCCCATGACTCAGGTTTTCTGTACCTGACAGTTCAAAGAGGTGAAAGGCTCAAAACTTCCACTTCACTTTATTTATTGAATTTCTAACTTTATAATCAGTTTGAGTTAGCATCAAACAAAAATTCTAAGCGTCTCTAGTTAAGAGAGAAGAGGAAGTGGAGCAGATATGTAAGGAAAGGCCGTAAGTGAATGCTGCTCGTTTCAAAGTAGAACAGAATTTTCTATTCCTCTGTAGTCTGTTCCTAAAGAGATTCCCATATAACCTCTGTCAGGATGAGGATGCAGAATAGCAAGGCAGAGTTGCTCAGCTGTCAGCTGATAGACAGCTCTGGTATTGGCACAGAGAAAGGTGCCAATTTACTGGAACTGGAGGAGAGGTCAGTTCCATAGAGAAAGTCAAGCGATGTGTTTTGCATTTTTCATTTTGATACATGTTTATATTGCACTGTGCATTTTATTTCCACCTCCCTCCCCATCGCTTTTTTTAGATGGATACAGCATACAAGTATAATACATTTGAATAATATTGTATTACGTTGATCCAATCGGAAACTTTACTTGCTTTCATTTTATTTAGTGCTTCTGTGGCACAATTTTTTATAAAGTCAGATTTATAGAGCTTTCACATATGCATTGGGGATTAGCAGGATGGGCAATTTCCATAAAACATATTTCTAAATGCATTTTATACATTCAGTTTCAGTGTCATAATGAAGAAGTTGCCGAGCCTCTTTACAAATGACAGAGCAGTTTTTAAGTGCTTCATATGCTGCAATGCTTGATGTAAATGGAAGCAGCTTATCTAAAATCCTGACATTCAGTGTAGCTTTACTTCTCCAATTCAGATGAAATGCATAAATTAAAGGATTCAGTTGGTCTTGCATGTGAAAATGAGTTAGTTTATTTGTGGTGTTGCTAGTCAATTCCAGTGTTCTCTATATATGTTTCCTAATTGTGACAGAACTGCTATCTGACCTAGTTGCTGCATGACTTAAGTGATAGTGGTGGTTGGAGAGAGGTGTTCAACTGAATGTAACCAAAGGGAGCTTTTTTTTGATCTTAATATTATTCCAAATTAATTTTCTTCCCAAATTTATATATAAATTGAAGGTGAGAAGTAATTTAAGAGAGGACTATTTTAAAACTCAGTGTCATAGATCATAAAGTAAAACTAGCAGTTGGTAGAAGTAGAATTAGAGAGGCTTGGTGAGATTAGCGTCTTTGCTTGTATAATTTTGGAAATGAGACTTGGTAGTGTAATACAAATTTTTTGCCCCCTTTATCTTCTTAGAATTCATTGTACTGATTTTTAGAATTTTTTTTTTTTTTTTTTTTTTTTTTTTTGGGATGCTCCCATATATAAATAGTTACATTTATGTATGTTGCAGTGCTTTAAAGCAATCGCTATGAAATGATTGATTATAGCAAAAGGCTTTACGGGTAGTGTTTATTTTGTAGCTGTTAGGGTTCATTAATTCAAAGGACCAGTTAGACCATGTTTTCTGTGTCTTCATTTTATATGTCAAATCAATCAAAGCATTTGTGCTCATTCTAACAATTGAGACCATTGCATACAATGACTGGAAACTTTAGCCATTTAATAATGTGCCTTACTGAGCTGAGAGAGAGGGGAGGCAGAGTAGTTAGAAATGGATAGATGGATAACACACTTAATATGACCAAGCATGTTCTTTTAATCCCTCTTTTATATGTCTGCTTCTGCATGTTAAAATTCATATCACAGATGACTCCTAGCAATGCCTTTTGTAGAGAGAAGTCTTGAGTTTTCTTAAAATCAGTAACTGTATAGGGGTCTCCTTCCAAAAGCAGCGATATGTTTATGTGCCTCAGAGATTATAGTCTGGTTGGATCCCCAGAGCTATTAGAAGGCTCTAAGGATCTTACGCCTGCATCCGCATCCCACTGCATGTGGACAACCTGTCCCAGTGCATGGTCTGCAGGAGCTCAGTTTGTCTGCTGTGTGTGTGATAGATGGCAACAAGGAGAGTGGATGCCTTCATAAAGGGAGGCATCAACTAAGTTAACAGAGAAGCTGGTGCCCCCCAAGTTGGATCAGAGGGAGAAGAGTTTGGTGCTCTTGGAAGAGGCAGTAATTGGATCCAACAATAGTTCACCAGTCGTGCTCTGAGAGGGCAGAGCTGAAACAGAAGAGGGCTTAAATTTCTTGTCTGTGTTTCTTTCCTCAATCCGATTCTGTTTGTACAGGAGCTTGGGCAGTTGCTGCAGGGCTTCAGAAACCTTCGTTTAGGAAATTCTGCAAGGCATTACAGACATTAGAACAACCAAAAGGAGAAGAGCAAAGCTGTGCTTTTAGGGGTAGATCTTAATAAAGAGATGTCTGTTTTCAATACAACTATTGAGCATTTTGTAAATTGTGGTTTACCTGCAGGACAGTTCAGATTGCTGGAAGAAAGCATGATGGTAACCTTGAAACTGTAGCAGTTTCATGCATTCTGATTGTCTGACATTCTCATGTGGTTTTTATGGAGGGCCCAGTGAGGTATCACAAGGCACAGTTGCCTGAAGTAAGGGAAGCTCCAGCCAGGAGAGGGAGAATTGTTTTTCTGCAGCTTCTGGCCAGTGAGAAGAATGAAAAAAGAGGAGGGAAAAAAAAATTACAAAGCCTAAGAAGCAACAGAAAGAAAATGCCCTTCCAGAAGGACAGCATTTCAGTCACGTGGCAGCTGAAAGGAACTCAATAGAATGTGATGCTTTCTTTTGTAACGTTTGTGTCCATTTGTAGGAAGCTGTAGAGGATCCTGTTTTACATGTAAGATTCAGGGTCAATTGTACTGCTTTTATTCTGCTTTTAAGTATAAGATTACAAGGTCAATCAGTGACTCAGAATAGTTCAGAAGTTTGCAGCATCTCTTTATGTGCTTACTTGCTGTCCTTGTAGCCATATGGGACTGACTGTGTGTCAGATGGCATAATCCCACCTGTGATGGCTGTTTGAGTCCTCATTACCTTACATGAAGGGAAGCAATACCTTCCCCAGGGTCTCACTGTTTTCTAATAGGAGCGATCCCAGTAACATTAATTTAAGGATTCGTTGTTGTTACAGCATGAGTGTACATACACTTGTGAAATGCAACAGTTAGAAAACCGATGAAACTATTGTTACTGTGCAGTATATTTTCTTATTTTAGAACATAACTTCTAAAAGTAAAACACTGAATGTTCCTAGAGTCTGTATATAGGAACAGCTAGTTAAGGCAGTTTGGGCAAATTTTAATGTACTTTAACAAGAGTCAGGTATAAAATGGTAGCTTTTTCATGAGTTGTTACAATCCGTTGGTAACATTAAATGGTTTTAAAATTAAGATCAGTTAGGGAATCTGGATTCTGCAAGCTTGATACCAAATGTAGTACTGCTGAAAATGCAAAATAAGATATGAAAGTGAAAAATTAGTTTCACAGAATCACAGATTGTTAGGGGTTGGAAGGGACCTCCAGAGATCATTGAGTCCAACCCCCTTGCCAGAGCAGGACCATCTAGTCTAGGGCAGGTCACACAGGAACCCATCCAGACGGGTCTGAAAAGTCTCCAAGGTAGGAGACTCCACGACCTCCCTGGGGAGCCTGTTCCAGTGCTCTGGAACCCTTACAGTACAGAAGTTCTTCCTCATGTTGAGGTGGAACTTTTTGTGCTCCAGCTTGTGACCCTTGCGCCGTGTCCTATTGCAGGGCATAAGTGAGAAGAGATTGCCCCTTCCTTCCTGACACCCAGCCCTCATATATTTATACACATGAATTAGATCTCCCCTAAGTCTTCTCTTCTCCAGACTAAAAAGCCCCAGGTCTCTCAGCCTCTCCTCATACGGCTGGGGTTCCAGTCCCCCAATCACCCTCGTAGACTCCGCTGGACTCTCTCTCGAGTAGATCTCTGTCCCTCTTGAAATGGGGGGCCCAGAACTGGACACAATACTCCAGGTGAGGTCTCACCAGGGCAGAGTAGAGGAGGAGCAGGACCTCCCTTGTTCTGCTGCATACACTTTTCTTAATGCACCCCAAGATACCGTTGGCCCTCGTGGCCACAAGGGCACACTACTGTCCCATGGACAACTTGTTGTCCACCAGGACTCTAAGGTCCCTCTCCACAGAGCTGCTCTCTAGCAGATTACCTCCTAACCTACTGGTGCATTTTATTACTCCTGCCCAGGTGCAGGACTCAGCACTTAAAGTTTGTAATATCAGAAGTGATTTTCTTTGTTTTTTCTTTCCAGGCTGGTAAGTGAAGAGCTGCCAGAAGTTCCTGTGCTTTACAGAGATGTCTCATCCCTTTTGCTTATCCAGATTTTAACCATGCCTCAACCATTACACAAAGGTATGTTAAAATTGTGTATATTTAGATGATTATGTATATGAGGCTGTATTCATGGTGATTTCCAGGATGGTAAATCATAGCTTGTCTACTCTGTATTTTAAAATAATGCTTCTGCCTTATCTACAGTGGCATTCAACAGAAATTTTTGTTGTGGGTTGGCAGGCTTATCTGTGTCCCCTGTCTTCTCACCTTATCAGTCAGCCTGTTCAGCAAAGATGTAACAGCTGAGTGAAAACTGTTAAGTACTTTTACTGAAGGAAAAGTGTCCTTTGTTTGACCTTCATCTCTTTGCTTAGAGGAGCAGCTCAGTACTTCAAAGTTGTACTGAGTGCCTAAGGGTGAAAAATTGTAATTTAGTTTTAGAGCTTAAATTGCAGCAGTCTTACATAATAGGAGGCCATATATGAAGATAATTGCTGTAATGCAGCAGCTTCAACAGAGACAGCATATAGCATAAATTGGAATAAATATTGAATAGATATTTAAGAACTCGATTTTTCATTAATAAATCAACTTTTAAAACCTAATATTTTTTTTTTTTTATATATGGGACAGCTGAACCTGGTCCATCTTGCTAATAGACAGTGTAAGCTCTGGAAGACGGCTTAGTTCAGACTCCGGTCCCTGGCTCGACTATTTATAGCTATACTTTTATTTTAAAATGAGGACAAACAAACAAAAAAAAAGTATCTTTTTACTACTTCTCTGACAATCAACAGAGCATTTATGAAAGTATATCTTATTGTACGAAAGAAAATACTTAATTAATAGTAAGGCATCTTGTGGAGAACTCTGTAAAATACCACATATCAGTAGCACGTTTTGCTCTTTGGTTTAGTGTACATTGCAGCTGAAAGAGGAATGGCAAGTGGCAGGAAGATGATGAATGCAACCACTTCATACCTACAAAGCATTAAATTGGAAATAAATTGCCACTTATCTTTCTAATTTTTGTTTCATCAAAATGGTTAGGCAGAATAAAAAGAAAGTCATTATTTATTTTGTATTGAGGTGTAGAATGCAGTTCAGAAAAATAAGAAATTTTTTTAGAACTTCTGTAATGGGTGTGTAGGTCACAGAGTTGAAGTCGATATCATTCATTCTTGTAGAGACGTGAGGCGTGAAAAGGTAAAATGGCTTCTGTAGGGTCACGTGGCAGGTCATCAATAGGGGTGAACAAAGTCTACATTTGACTCTACTGCTTCCTGAGCTTTCTCTGCTACTTTGGTGTTACTGTGGGGTCCGTGAGCTGTGAACTTGGCGTGACATCAGTATGCAGACAAAAGCTGATGGCTGTTTCTACAGACAGGTATTTCCAGTATATTCCTTGAACAATAGACTTAACTGTACTGCAGGAGAGGTGGTGTTGCAGTCTGGTGCAGAGTGCCATGGTAATGGTGTTAGAACTCTAATAATGAAGGAAGAATCAGTAGGTTTTAGAATCCATAAAATATTTTCTTCTTTTAGCATGGACGCCTTCCTGTAATGGTACGGGTTTTGCAGTATCATTTATTAGGTATGTTGATGTAGTCAAAGAAACCATGTTTGTATCCATAAAGGTAATGAAAACTGTTCATCAAGTATTAAATCATCTTCATATTCATAGTCAAAATCCTTTTTGTTTGCACAGTGTTTTTTAAAACCACTGAGTGCTCTGTAAGGAGGATCCAAACTTCCATCTCTTGCCTTTCAGATACAGCACTGAGTTGGATTAACTACCCCAGTAACTGCTGGATGGATGTTGGTGTCTTTTTTTTCAATCCAACATCAATTAAAGCAATAAAAAGGCCAATACTGTTGCAAAGTATTTAAGAACTGGGGTCTGGGTGAGCTGGTTTTGAGGGTTTAGCCCAACCTCTGTGGACTGTGGGAAAAGTTTTCTTCTCTGGTGTGTAACACCTACATTCAGACCCTTTTTTTTTTTTTTTTTTTTTCAAGTCTGATAAGGCTAAGATGCTGAAGAACCTGACCTGGATGTTCTGACACATTCTTTTTCTATAAAATTTCTATGACATGCAACAAAAACACAGCAAGCAGTAGTCAGGTGGACACCAGCACTTTTCTTTAATGATTTCTTGGCTAAACACAGAATGAATGTAATCAACTGGAATAGTATCCAGTTTCAGTTTGGAAGCTGAAATACTTATCTGTATCCTGGAACTTCCAGTATACCTTTCATGGATTAGCTGAAGTTCAGTGTTCTTTGTTCTGAAGTTATTTTTTCAGATAACTGTTTAGGCTTAAGATCAAAAAGGATATTTTCAAAGGTTATTTATATAAACATGTGCTTCTGAATGTTGCGTGAAGGGAAGGGGGTAGGTGTGGGTAAGGGAGAGACAAATCTGGTAAGAGACAAATCCCCTTGCTTTCTAGCTGGTCCTCAGATATTAGAGGGGCTGGGGGCGGCTGAACCTGTCTCTTAACAGGTTCCAATGAGAGCTGTGACTACAGGTCTGACGCCAGATGCTGGAGCAGCCTGTGGCTGTAGGTACAGCTGCATTCAACAGAAGCCGTTGGCTGCAAACCTTCCCAAAGGCGTCCCTGCTGGGGAGGGTGAGGAGAACAAACCCGTCCGTCTGTCCCTGCAGCTTGGTGCTGAATTCTCCTCCCACGGACTGGGTCCAAAAAGGGGTGACATTTACACCTTTTTTTTTTTACTGATCTGTAAAGTGTGGGGATGGGGCTGTGGGCAGACGACTGTTCCATGTAATCGGCACAAAACTCCCTTATCTGCACCTGCATCTGCAGGGAGTAGACAACTGCCATGGTGAGACAGGTGAGGAAATGGGGCAAGCAGCCTCCGCTGCATTCCACATTCCTTATCCCAGGGTCCAGTACACAGACCACTGAATCTTCACCGAGACTGCCCTGGCACCAGTTCTTTGTTGGCAGTGTCCAGCTTTGCGATTTGTCCTTGTTTTGCACTCCAGCATCTGACACCGAATTCACTAAAAAGGTCCTAGGTCCTTAATTTTGCATTTTGTTCACTTGGATTCTTTCTGCAGTCATGCCTGCCAGCATATATCATCTCATTTGATGCTGAAATCGTAGATGCCTGTTCTTAGTAATACACTTGCTCATTTGCACATTTTTTGCACTGATGTTAGAGTTCTAGGGATGTTTCCTGTATAAACTTTATTTTTAAGGATGTTTGTTTAGTGTATATAATGGGATGGGATGATGTGAAGTAAATTGATTCCAAGAAGTTTTGTTTTAAAAAGTTTTAAAAATAGGAGCGTAAAATAATTTCTCAATATTATTCATACATAAGTGCAAAAATTAGGCATTAACTTCCTTTTTCATTATAATGGGCTAGCCATAATAATATAACTTCTAGACTGTCAGAATATCAGATCAGGTTTTTTTATGTACAAACACAGAAGTCCTAACTGCATTTTAGTGCAGAACATTGCATAGTATATCATCTGCAACAGATGGGACTGACAGCATTTGCATAGTTTACTCCACAGCATATGAATATACTAGCAATCTTTAGAATTATTGAATGAAAAAGATGTAGCAAAATCATGGCCTCCACCGGGGGGGCAGCAGGAGACCACCACGCAGCCTCGACGAGTGCATTGTGGAAAGGCAAATAAAAGCATTCTGCAGTAGAGGGTAACAGCTCTAGCACTGTGGTACCTACAGCTGTCAATTATTTTTGCATTTTACAAATAAGAGACAACACATAGTAATGAAATGATAATTGATCCTGTGACTGGTGTTTTCAGTATGTCTCCCATGGGACGTTTTTGTGGCTATAAAGTACTTGTTTTCAAAGCCTGGGTGCTCATTACACAGCATGCTGCCTCTGAATTGCTCCTGTTATATTTTCCTAAAAAAAAAAAAAAAAAGTTTTGTGCAGAAGTCAGGACTTCTTAAGGGTGACCCAGATGTGACAGTGTGTATTTTTTTTGTCCAATTCTGGATTCTTCAAAAATGTAATACATAGTAATTTGAGTTACATACATATAAACAAATAGAAGAGAATTAATTTATGTTAAAAAACATAATATATGCTAGATATGCTATTTCTGTTGAATTGAACAATTAGTATTAAGGTGGGGATAAGGTCAAGGAGTAATTATATTAAAAAAAAAAATCAACAACCACATAGTAAAAAATGTAGTAGTTCTAGAGAGTGACAAGACACACAGTGTTGAGCACTGTGTAATCACCTCAGCAGAACAGAGTGAAAACTAGAAGAAATGGGATATGGCAGGTGGGTGAATGTTGGCCAGCAGGCTAGTTTTGCTGCTCTAAGTGCAGTGTTTTTCATTCATGCTTTCACAGTGTAAAATTCATCTCTATTGCTTTTAACTGCTATTGAGGGAGCTAGAGCTCAGTACTTGAGTTCAGTTCTAGCTATAGCTATAGACTACAGCTATAGCTATAGCTACAGCTATAGACTAGCTCAGACTGAAGAGGCAGTTTTTACAGTCCTGAGTGTATGTGGTTTCATCTTGTTGATCTTCATTGCAGAAAATTTAGTTAAAGCTTGCTTTCTAAAATTCCTCAGTAGGAGGATTGTGAAGAAAATGGGTGTTTAAGCAGAGGAAAAAAGGAAGGTCTACATATCTAATAGGATCTGGTGAATTGTCCATCTGAGGAGATGTGGAGAAGAAAAATCATTATAATGCTACCTGCTCTAGAATGGCGTGGATGAAGTATAGCAGTGTTTATTGTCAGGTTTAATATAAGCTCCATAGGAAGATAATACGGACAAAAAAAGTACATTTTTAATTGCATAGCTACAAATGATAATTTAGATGCTTAAATTATGCTTATTGTATAGTCTCAGTGACATTTGAAAAGTTTAAAAATCCAAGTCTGCATTGGTTTGTAAACATTTGTTACATAAAAAAGCAATTGTTATTTCACAAATTTAATTATGGCTGTTTGTTTTAGAACCCAGTTGTGGGGTTTGATATTAGATACAGAAGGGAGGAGGGAGTTCCATCTCCCTTATCTGCTTTTAATTCTCACATACAAGCTTCTTTAAATCCTTTGGGAAGAAAGAATGAATTTTAACACATTTTTGTGATGTGCTTTTGTAAATTAAATTGTTTTGCTTGACTTCAAAGCCTGAGAGGACTTTTTAAAACTGTCATTTTTGTATACATTGTTTTAGATACAGCTTATAGTTATGTTTGTGCTTAAAGAATGGTGTGATGATAGAAACTCCTTTGATGTGCCTAGAATTTAAAAATCCAATTACTAGAGATGGGAAATATGACCTAAAGTAGAAAAAAAGATTGCTACTGTATCTTTATTTCAGAGAACGATCACTTTCACCATTTTTCTTCCTCAAATTTTAGGAAGTGGTCTTTCATCTCTGTTGGTAGTTTCTCCCAAAAGATATCAGGGCCTTTCCGCTGCAACCTATATGTAGGAGATTATAATAATAATACAACATTATTATCCTTTAAATATTACTAAAAATTGAAACAATAAAGGTCTTTGACAAGAAGGTCTGTTCTAAAATGACAGCCTGACTTTTGTTATTCTATATTAATTTGAGGTCAAATAAATAGGTACTCACTAAAGAGTGGTTTAGCATCAAGACTTGTATGGCTGGACCCATATCTGGAAATGAAGGGACAGAAATTGAAGTATGCTGAATGTCCTTCTTGCAGTGATTTCTGTAGGAACTTTTCCAGGATTTGTATGAATGTAACTGGTGGCTTAATCATTGCCAGAAGAGATGGTAGGATATGTATTTGCTTGAATCTACAGCACCCAATTAATTCTATCTATCAGTAATCAGTAGCTTAACTTGATGTAACGTTTGGACAAAATAGAATTTTGTAATATCACCAGGTCCCTAGGAGGAAGTCACTGCTGATTAGGATTAAGTTGAACATTTGGAGCCATAGAAAATTACTTTCCCTGTACTTATTCTTTTCAGTACAGCTGCCAAGTCATTTCTGAAAGCTAGTAAATATAGTTGTTTTGTATGTTCTGGGGTTTGTACTTCTTGTATGGCACTTGCTTTTCGTTTAAGAAGCAACGTTTCCGTAGAGACTCTGTAGTCAGTATATTTGTTAAAAATATCAAGTGTTTAAAAATGGCTTTCTTTGTTTTACAGAACACTTCACCTGCATTATAAAAGTGCTGTTCACTTTACTGTATACTCAAGCCTTGGCAGCACTTTCTGTTAAATGCAGTCCTGAAGGTAGGATGGCATGGAAAGAGTCAGGAGCTCTCAAAAAGGTTGGTTTATTTATTGAAACATTTACGAAATCTTGCTTATGTATTTCTGGTAGGAATGGAACAGATACTTTTGCTTTGCATATAATAATTTGCTTCTCCTTCACAAAAAAAAAAAAATCAGTCTTTTGTTTCTGCATGTGCATTTTTTGCAGGTTTTAGTATGTGATGATGCTTAAGCTTCATGCTCATTATCTAGTTCCAGAACTGAGTTTCAGATTTGAGGCTATATCACCATAGTTTCAGTCCTGATGATATCAGTAAATGCAGCTTTCCTTCCTGTGAAATTGAAGCCATCCTAGATAGACCATGGGTTGATCTGATGCACTTCTTTACAGGAAAAGCAGGCAAGCGTGTTGATGGGGAGGGAGGAAACTTTCTTTTATTTGTTCATGCTGTTTGTGGCTAGTCATATAAATTTCTTTCAATATGTGGTTAGAGTGCTTATGTGATGAAGAGGCAGAGAAGGAAATTCGTAGACTAGGATGGTAGATATTTCACTACCTTTTCCTTGTGTTCTGATAGTACTCATAAGTAAAGTGAAGGCACATCTTCCTATTTCAGTTTAGCTGATTGAATGCTAGTTCCCACCGAAAGCTGAGAGTTCCCTGCACTGGCATTCATTTAATCCTTCAGTTAGTTTTCTTCTCCAAGGACTGATTCCCCAGAAGGTCAGAAGAGTGTCGATGCCAGACCAAAGGAAAGGGTAGAAGTGTTTGGGCCAGGAGAGGAAATGGGTGGAAGAATAACTCTTTAAACAACAGCTGGGCCTTAGATTATGTTGGCCGTAAAATGAAATGTGCACTGGGAAACATGACCTGCTTTTCACATACAAGTTAGATTTGTCATACTGGTCAGTCACAGCTCCAAGGTACTAAGGGCAAATTATCTGCTGGCCAAACTGCTACTATGTGGGATTTTTTTTCTGGACTTAGCATTAAGTATTTGATATTGCTGGGCAGTACTGCATTTTGTTAGCTCCTTCTCCACTCTGTTCTTCCGATACATTTTTCATTTTCCTAGAATTTCAAGAACATTTGCTTGAGACTGTTTTTGATGAGGGTTTGTTTTCTTTTTTTCTGTTCACCTAAGTGATTCCCAAGTGATAGATAATTTTACAGTTCGATGGTTGTGGTAGAAAGCCTATAAATAGATCAAAGTGTTACTAGCTTACATTCTTTCATAGTCTGTATGATAAAAATGGACTGCCTTTTTCCCAGTAGCAGAGGTTGGAGTTTATCTGAATATATATTTACAATCTGTAATTTTCTGTCTACAGTAAGAGATTTTATTGTAGGAAAATAGACTTAGGGCATGTGGTAGGTGAGCTTGCCACCTATTAATACTAAGATGTTTTCTTATAGAAGTATGTGAAAGCATTTGCTTCACAGAAAGCACTTTGTACTTGAGGCTTGCAAATTATGATAATGGCTCAGAAAATGGATTTATCAAGTAGCTGTCTCTCTTGATCTTAAAGACAGTCCATTTTAGCAGACCTTTCACTAGTGTGATTTCATTTTGATGGATGATAAAGGCTGAGTGGGAAATAGGAGCACACAAAACAATATGTTACTGTGAATGGATGTTATGATGTAGTGTAATTCAAATAACACAACAGATTAATTTCTGTCAGTTTGAGAATTTTGACTTTTCTTCTGTGAGAAGGCCGTTGAAGGCTTACAGTTTGTAAAGTGGGGAGAGTAAAAGAGGTAGGAGATAGATATGAACATTGCATATCTGCTGTACTGGCAGCATCTCTCACTCTCCCTTGAAAATATCCTTCTCTTTCCTCCTGTCTGTCTCATGTAGATGGTCTGCATACAGAGGTCCACATTCTGACAGCAGCTTGGCTGTACATGCTTAGGGTGATCTCTGCATGATCCTCAGGAACTCCTACACTTCCTGCTTGGCTTCCATTCCACCCCAGTGATAATCTGCACTAAGTGTAGAAGCTTTACAAAAGTCCAATTTGCAAGTTTGCCCTTCCACAGGTGTCTTTCCCGTTTTCTCCTCTACCTCCAGAATTTTGCTGCCTAGACTCTGTGTGCGCAGGAATCCTTTAAGCACTCCCCTTGAATGTCCCTAATCCTCAGATTAACTCTTTGCATGTCAAAAGGGAAGATGGTTTTTAGTATAAGAATCCAAGTTCTTCCTTTAAAGTTTCTTGAAGCCCAAATGCTTTAAAATATAAGGTTCGGGTTGGCTTTTTCTTATGTGCTGATAATATTGATATTTTGAACCCAGGATGACTACAGAGATCACACCTTACTTCATTTTCATCTGTGGATAATGCCAAGTGAATCTATTTCAGTTTGGTAATCCAGGCATTAAACATGAGCTGAAGTCTCTCCCTCTATATTCATGCCAAATGATGAAACAACATTAAAGAGTTTTATTTCTCAGCAGGGCTGAGAAGTGGATATGCTACTTCTGATTCCGAAATTTACTTTCATTATCTTTGCAAGATGCCTTATGGTGTCATAAGAAGCACGCTATAAATTCCTGCAGAATTATTCCAGAAATAATGTAGATAAAAGGTTTGTCCTCACTGCTGGTTTAAATATGTGTTGCCTTCTGGTTCTTAGATTGTGAGCATAAACAGCAAGTGTGCCTTCTGGATGCTTGAAGGTGAAGACTCCATGTGAAATTAACAATTATAATTGATGTCAAAATGCACTAAAGAAACCAAGTGATGAATTGTATACATAAGTATGTGGAGTCTTTAGATACTTAATCTCACCTAGTTGACTGGATTTTTTTTGAAGAATCCCAGTAGCGTTCTACTCCTTCATAGTTTGTTACTTTGATAATAAACTAACAGAGCTAAAACTTCACATCCAATCATGTTTTTCCTGTGTAGAATTTATTATGACTTAGAAGAAAAATATTTGTGAGAATACTGCTTTCTATTTCTGATGGCTTTCTGTAGTCATTGCTTTTAAATGTAAAAGCTATGGCACAAAGTTAAGTGCCTGTTTATTCTCTCCACTAAATATTTTTCTGTCTGTAAGATACTGTTCATTCCAAATGCAACTTTTCATTTTCTGGTAGACTTATCTCAACTTATACTACATAGCAAATGTTTTGTAAATCATTCTGGTTGGTAAATTTTAGGAAATTTTTTTTTTTTTAATTAGTTGTATTAGACTCCAAATTCTATCAAAACACAATGTATATCCATAAAGTGATTTTCCTCATTTTAAACTAAGGATTTTTAAACTCACAGCAAAACCATGGGAAATGTAATATTATAAAAGCGTTTTCATCTAACACTCAATTTAGAACATGTGAATAGCTGCTTCAATTATATATTTCACTCTGTGAGCTAAATGCAGTCCCTCTCTGGAGAATTATTTTCTTTATTTGTTGTTCTTTTAAAAAATGTGTATCTTTGTAGGTCAAAATTCATGTGTTGATCAAAAGGAAATGTACTTCATTGCTGTTACTTTCACAGGAACTTTTTTCATGACCAGTGCATTTCGGACTTCTTCTTATTTGCAGAATACATGCAGTGGAGAAAAATCTTGGGAAGTATTGCTGAGTCACGTGATTAGTGAGCTGTCTAAGGGGAAGATATATGAAGAAGGGGAGACTGAAGAATTAACAGTGGTATTGGCAAATCTCTTGAGAATTTATCCAGCATGTCCCCTTTCTATCTCTTATTTAAGTATTTCAGCGTTGTTGTTACAATTATTTTTCTCTCATCTTGCTAAAAACTGCAGTACACTTTATTTTCCAGATCAAAGTACATCTCTTTGGGACAGTTTTCCCATGTGAATCTTTCTTTTACTTCTATCAAATGTGGCTAGTGCCATGTTGAGAAAGTTATTTACAAATACTTCCTATAATTTTGAGGTTTAATCATATGTATGAAAGACCTTTCAGAAGCTTGAAAAACTGAATATTTAAGTAGAAAAAAGCATGTATCAAGGGGGGGAAAAAAACCTACAGAGTTATTTCAGATTATTAGTGAAATGCTGCTCTTCAAAATGTGTTTGATGCAGTGGTTTATATAGTAAGCTTAAAAACCTTTTTGTTCAAATTGGAGTTTCTTACATGGGAGATAATAACTCTGCATCAGATAACTTAATAATTGCTTTCTTCCCCGTAGGTAAATCCTGATTCTGCAGAGCACTACCTGCAGCAGTTCTGCCTGCCTTTCCTCAGGATCACAAGCCTTCTTCAACACCATCTTTTTGGAGGGGATTTACCTAGTTGCCAGGTACAGGTTGAGAAGGGTTCACTCAAATGTTTCAGTTTAAAACCTTGAGATCAAAAATAAGATTTTTTCACTTGAAGAATAGGTATGAGGTTCTTCAGGAGG